GCCGAGCTTATAGAGAATGGAATTAGAGGAGATATTGATAAATTGATCATATTCCTATCGCAAGAAAAATGACGAGATCGAGTGACCAAAGTGTTGATCAAATACGGAATTTTTGATTAAAAATTTTTAAACCCTGGTCATTTAGACTGTTGTAGGTTCAGTGTTAAAGGGATCGAATACTTTTGTCAAAATTATTATAATTTTGGGAAATTTCTATGACGTATCAAAATTTGAAAGAAAAATTAGAAACTGCATTTGAAAAAGAAGAAAAAAAGAAATGCTGAGTTCCATATCTCGATAAAATAGCAGAACTATATACAATCGATTATGCTACCGAATATTCCCCTTCGAAACAACGCAATTTTTATTATTCCAAATATTTTTCTAAATTTACGATAAATATTTCGTGAATTATTTTGGATCATTACGAGCCACTCACCCTGTGTATTAACCAAAGTGTTGATCGAATACGGAATTTTTGATTAAAAATTTTTAAACCGTGGTCATTTAGACTGTTGCAGGTTCAGTGTTAAAGAGGTCTAACACTTTTGTTGAAATTATTATAGTTTGGCGGTTGTATATTTAATAGAAAATAAAATAAGAGTATTTTCAGTAAGTGTAAGTTCAAAGCTTGAAGATTTGGGGCTTGCAAGGGGTAGGTTTTCAGACTTCTCGAAGGTCGAAGCAAAAGATTTAGGTTCGTAATTTCTAGTTCATATCTTCATCTTAATTTAAAATTAAAAATAAAATAAAATCTGAATCTAAAATTTAGTTCCTAATTTCATCTTCAGTTACTGATACCCAATTTCTAGACACTCCTAAATATATACCCAATATTAAGTATATTAGCCTGAAGATTAGAAAGTATTACTACTACACGTTTAGGATATGAATATCGCCTTAAATGAGTTACTAGAATGAATCAATTGCACGAAGAAATTTATCAATAGTTGAGAATAAAGAATTTCAAAATTTCATAAACCTTTGGAATTTTATTCGAATTGAAAGCCCAACAGAACTATAAAGCCGTATTCAGGCTATACTCGGTGACGATTCAACGATATTAATTTATATTTCTAGATATTCTTTCTAATTTTCCGAGAGAATGAAATCTCATTCCGGCTAGTCGGTTCGCGCATCTCTTTGTCCATCGTTGTATTACGCTAACATTTGCAGTCTAAGTAAGCAGTTTGGTCTAGCGTGACATATCCGAGTACACTTTGTAAACTTCTGAAATATCACGTTTGGGAGAGTGCTAGAGAAGGGAATAGAGAAGAAGAGAAGTTGGGCAGGATAGGTCCAGGAGGTGTGCAAGACAGAGAGAAAGTAGAGAAAGGGGGAACTGTAGAATTTGCAGTAACCGAGGGTACAGTTCATTCAGGTCGAATGTTCGGGCGACGTACGCAAATAGAATGCGAAATGTCAATTACGCCGTTCGCACTGTGCTTTATTAAATTCCGTTTCAGTTATTAGAGTTTCCAGAAAGTTCTGCAAATGCTCGAGATACGATACTGCTTCATTAATGCGGTGCAGGAATGTAGAGAGGGCGATCAACGAGTGCACTTTAAAACCATTTTCATCCTCTCTTCAACAAACTTTGGATATTATATTACTCGGTGTTTCAATTAAATATGTATTCAAACCGTAGGAAAATCGCGCTTTCAGTTTCTTCGCGTATCGTCTGGGTCTGGCTTAACGCGAGTCGAAGCAATTTCGTACACGTTTTACAAAACTCCTCGAGCATTTTTAATGCCAAGCTTACCATCGTCGAAGATCTGAGAGTGTATTACATTCTCGTTAGGAATCGTTTCCCAGTTAGAGAGAAATATCTCTGACGAATGTAGCGTAGTCCTTGCGAAAGGGAATATCATAGTCTGCTATTTGATAAAATAGAAATAACTCTTAATGCTTGTTAATGGTAACGAAGATCTATTCACGATACTGAATTTGCAACAGAGAAGTACCCATAAGAGATTAGTACAATTTAAATTGAATTGCAAGTACAGCACAGTTCGACATGGTTTTCCAAGGACTTCTTTATGCTTCGAGACCCTGATCCTAATGACCCTGGAATAAGCTTCGGATCGAATATTAATAATCTTAAACAGTTGTTCTGCAGGAAAGTTTGTCAGAAACAAAGTCACGCAAAATAGTGCATGAAAACGTTACGGATTTTAGAGAAAGTCTCCATCGAAGCTGTACAAATTTTGAAGAATGGACCCAACGATCTAAGTATAAAATTTCTCTATTCTAGAATTTCGAGATCTGTTTCCTCTTAGCCGAACCTTTATAAGGTTGGAAGCGTCTGAAACTTTCGCCGAGAAGACAGCCGCGTTCAATTACGAAGTACAAAGGGTTGGTCGATGTCGTCCGTTGTTCTTGGTCGGCCGTACGTTTGTTTGTCCTCGATGAGTCCGTCTGGGGCGGATCTCCATTGTCCTTGCGGATTGGGTCTTTCGTACGGATTAATGAGACTGGTTCTTGGTCTCTCAGACGTCCGATTGAGAACCCATTTTAATAAGTCAATGATTCTGCCGTCGAATTTTTTAAATTTACCCTAATTAGGCGACACAAGGTCGAACGCTTTCTATACCACACCGCCACCCTATTCACTCCATCTTCCCGTCAAGGTAAAAATTATTCCAGAACGTATACTATGGTGTCCAATGGTCGTCTGGCCTCGTCGACGTAACATCCCTTCTTCCTCAAATTTCGAAGAATTTTCGTCGAATTATTTTCCTCGCGAGTAGAACGAGAAAATAATAATTAATACACAATGGATTTTCAGTCGAAATTGCAACGAATATATTACGACAAGATAATTTTTATATGCCAGTATGGGGTATTTTCAATATGGAGGGGAATTTATTCAAGTTCAAGGGTAGCGATTCCTCGAGCCCCAATTTCAATAACAGTAAAGTTCCCGACACACTCTGTCCGCACGCATAAAGCCTGACTTTTACACCCCTTCAACTCTTTTACAACGGCTGCTTTACGTGCTTGCCCCGAAAATGTCGGTAGTGGGTACTTTACTTAGTATCCTGTGTCTCAAGCACCCACAATTTGCGCTCCAGGAGGAGTACGAAAACAGTGCACTTGGGTAAAGGAGAGCGTACACAGCGATATGCATACAGGGTGTATTGTTAGTTGACAAATTCCATTCTTCCTAATTATCGTTAATTTAATGTCCTTGGTAAATTAAAACGCGCTTACGCCCTGAGAATAAACAGCGGAAACACGGACAATTAATTTCTACGATACCCAGCTCGAAGTAATTAACCTGTGCAAATACGCATACTTCATTCCCGTCTTTTCGTAATTCCATCTTTTTTTCTATAATATACCTCTTACTCTATTACCGCGATTTTACGACATCGTTCTCCATTGCGTCCCTGAAATTGCCTGCGAAGAGTACTTCTTCAGAATTTGGACCCGTGCCATTGGTATCTTTTTATTTACGTTATACCTATCTTATCTCTTCATTTTCATTTCGCATCTTCCGCCTCTGTTGTCTCCTTGGAATTTCATTTCTTAATTCTCCTTTTTAAATATAACGACTTCGATTATATTTTCTTAGGGAAATAAATTAAACAATAATTTCCGGAACAATGGTGTCGTATCAGAAACACGATGGAATTAATCTAAAGCATCTGGTGTAAAGCAGATAATCTTGGAATCAATAGTGTTATATTCGAAATATAAAATTAACCCCTTCGTCTACGACATCGTGTGAGACTCGTGGTAAGAAAATCGTGCAAAACACGAGTACGATAGGTGAGAGAGGATAGGTGGTTTGTAGATAGGACCAATGTAACCATCACGGGTCAGGTTCGTGGTTAAATTTCACCGAGGTCTTTTTGCCTTTAGTTACGCGTTCAGACGAAATTCCACGTGTGACGATATAATTTTCGTCCATGTTTTTCTGTCGAGACGCGATGTGAAATTGTTCGCTGTGTGATCGACTTTGCTGTTGATTATGGCAAATCATAAGGAGCTTAAATGACAAGCCAAGTGATTAAGAAGAGAAAAGGAGAGAAGATAATCTCAAAGGCAATGATACTTCGTGAGAAGTATTACAGAATAAGCTAGGATGAAATTAAGGAGAAGAAAGATAGAAAAGGATGATCCGAGAAGCCACGGTATTGCAGGAGAAATATAATAGAATTAACTACGATAAAGTAGAATTGTTCGAAGAAGCCGGAACCAAGGAACGCGTATTTGACCAGCGCAGCGAGTAAACTACCCTGTATACCTTGCGGACTGTGTGAGTATCTCTGCATGTTTATTCGTACACAAGCAGCAAGTATGAACACCTGATCTCGAAGGTCGGGGTGTTGGTTCAGCCGAAACCGAAATTACGGGGTTAATGGAAGTCTGGACGTGGCTGGCCCTCCTTGCAAGGAAACGGAAAACGGAGCTGGAAAGGTATTTCACTCTGCCCTGTTGTAGAAAAAGAGCAGGTTGCCCTTTGCCGGTGAAATAACCGGCTCTTCCTATCTTTTCGCCCCAGACTACCTTCATTTTCGGAACAAATGTGCGCAATTACTTGTTACTTTGCCCTACGCCTCCGTCATTGCAGATAAATAAGGAATCGGGCTGCATTAAAGGTGAACCCATAAAAGAAAAAGCTTCTCTGCTTTCCGCCTCTTTAGAGGAGAAAAACCCTGGATTAATTAATGAAACTGTAATATGCGGGTATTAAACGATCCCTGTGTGTGTCTGTGTGTGTGCGTGCGTTTCTAGAGTGCGAATCTCGGATAATGGAGCGAAAGAAAAAGACGAGGATGCTGGGAGATAAAATACGAAAACGCGAGAAGAAATTTAACACTCTGGTTCTACGATTTGTACCGGTTTGTTTAAATCATTTTGAATTTACAGAATTAGTATACTTTAGATTTCTTCGATCAGGTTTTTAAATATACAGATACTCGTATCTTCGTAATAAGTTTTATCAGGATGATTTTCCAAGAGTGTCTCTCGTGCAACATGGTAGCCATATGTCAAGCGAGCACGATATTTCTCAAGGAATACTCAGGCTTGATGTCGAAAGTGGCAATGGTGCCATCGTTGAAGGGCAAAGAAATGCCTCCGTCTATCACCAGGCCAGCGTCAAAGCCATGGGATTTCACAGTGATCTTGTTGCACTTTTGCCTGTCCAGGCAACACTTGTGCCTGCTGCAGCGCGTAGCATGATACATCTCGCGGATCATGTACGTCATTTTTAACTCCTCTGAAAAGCGTCGAAACTGCATACGGTTTCTCGAAACAGAGAGTACCATTTTTCTTGGGATCCAAGCATTTCATCGGCCAAGAATTTTCACCCTTCTCGATCATAGCTGCTAAAGTTTAGCGATATAGTTACCTGCAGAGTAGATGAGAGTGCGATGGTATTCGTTCAATAATTTATTCGCTTCCTCGAGGCTTAATTTCTTGCCGGTGGCCAGCTCGATGATCCTCTGAACCGTCTCAGGTGACTGGACGTTTATGGATCTGTACCAGAACCTGGAGCCAGTGCCCGTGCAAACGCAGATGCCCGAGCAGCGAATTTGGTACGCCTCTTGGTTTTCCACCTCGACTTCCAACGTTATCGGTCTCGAGGCCAAAAATTCCCCCATGAACACCTAAAGGTTACACGGGATATCGGTCGAGTATCTCGGGATATTTCTTTTTCCACGGCGAAACGAGATTTGTTCGCGAAACTAACTTCGTTCAATGCCAGCCAGGGTAAAGTTCTCTGACGGGGTTGAAGAGAGTCTGCTATTTTCCTTTGCGTCGATCGTGTAAGAGCCCTGAGAATTCAATTAACTTTAATTAAAGTAGTTAATGGGATTGATCAATGCTTCGAGGTGTTTTACATTCGTTCCATTTTTGCATCGAGGCGGAAGGAGAGGAAGGAGAGACAGGAGAGACCCCGGCGGAAGAATAAGAACGCGTTAAATGTACAAAGCACGGTACCCCGAAGGAAACGAGTTTATTTAGTCTGAAACGACGTTGTCAGGGAATGAACGAAGAATTTTAACGAAGAGTAATGAAGAACGACGTTGATCACGAACTCTCGATGCAGCATGGAGTAGCGGGACTGCAGCGAGTAGCGTAATTACGTTAATGTTAAACGCTCTGATATAAATAACATGTCCGGCTCGATAAATCGGGAATATCGATAAATAATCGGGGATTGATAATAAATTAATAGAGTGGATAGACAGTCGTGGAATATTCTCGTTGGCTGCATAACAGCATCGAAACTGGCCGCCATTTTTCCACATAAATCACGGTTTCTCGTAAAATGCCAATCATGCGCGAGTAAGAACTCGCTTTCTACGTTTTTCATTGACGAGTTACATGTAATATTTATATTTTTACGATGAGTAAATTCTCTTGTCAAATATTTCTACGAGAGAGAAAAATATTTCTATACGCGTAAGAGTTATGGCACCGTGGCTACCAAATCGGGCGCAATTTGCCTCGATTTTTCCCGCTATAAATCGGTCAGAATGGGACTGGCGAAAAAATCGGAACTTTCTATATATATTTTCGTTCTACCTTCCTTTTCTTCTCCATTAAATTACGATTTTTTGGAATTCGCGTAATACTCGATTAAAAAGTTACGACTTCTCCGTATGAGTCGTAACTACGGGGTTATTGTAATTTACAAGTTATAACTGCCAAAGTTCCGGCGTGCAGGAGGCCATAACTCGGAACTACTCGGTGAAGAGGACCAGCCCTGAAATGAAGACGCATTACGGCCTTTATGAAAACGCGGAATCGGCGATACGTACGGCTTACTTAAAACTTAAGAGAATAGATTGCCCTGGCAAAGAAGCGCGTTACGCTATTCGCTGCGAGATAGAGGGAGAGGGCCAGAGAGACGCCTTGTTGCGGGCATTTTATCGTTTTTGCCAACGCAATTTAAGTCCAGGAACCGCCGAAGGAACGTAAAGTTTAATCTTCAGGATGGAACCCGAAACAGAGACTCGAAATATGGCGGAACTAATGAATTCATGAAAATAAGGAAATAAATTTACTGCCCCCTCGCGTGTACCTGATGTTACGCAATGAGCTTGTAATTTTGTTATAAACTGGCTGCCCAACTATTCGGATAATTTTATCTTTCCTTTAATAGTCGCTTGGCGAGTGATAAATTTCAACAGAAGAATTAAATAATCGGTCGAAACGCGTTAACGATAATTCTAATTTCTGTCAGTGGGCGTAGATTAACGTTGAAATTAAATTTTATAATTAGAAATTATCTTTTATTTAATTCGAATTTTCAAACTTAACCCTCTATGGACCGAATATATATTTTTCTTGACTATAAGAATTGTAAAAAAAGATCATAGGGGGCCATAGAGGACCTAAACTATGATGATCGAATAATCGGTAAATGAAAAAGAATTAGAATTTTTAAAAATGGAACCACGGGGAGTATTGTAAAAATAATTATAAATATATCGAAAGAAAAATCGCGAACAATAACGTTGAATGCAGTATTTAATAAAATATCCATACATTAGCATGTAACTTGAAAGTTACACGGGTACATAGAGGGTTAATTTCTACTTTTTGACGTATTTTTAGGCACACTGTATGGGAAATAATATTAATATTAAATCTAGTACGTCCTAAACGAATATTTCTAAATTTTGAATTAAAAATCCTAGATGTCATTTTCGTCGCTTTTGATAGTTCCATTCATTATGTTTCTTCAGCCAGTGCGATCAATTGCATAACTCAATTGCCTCGTGAAATGAAATATAATATATAAATATCGTACACACGTTGTAAGAAAATTTCAATATATCGAATCTATGTTTCTGCTACGACATATCGAATAGGTGATCAGAAAATTTGAATCGATAAGACGAACCACTCGATGGGAAGAATATTACTCGATAAAAAGGAAGAGACAGAGGCGACGCGAATGTTTTGCATCCATTGTACTCCTGACGCAAGGAGCGTGTATATCCATATGTATACGAACGACAGGAGATTAAAGTACATCTCGTGAACGAAAGTAAACGTCGAGAGGATAAGGAAGGAAGAAGAATCTCGAGAAAGGAAATTTCTCTACGGCCACCGCGTCCTCGAGGTAACGAATAAAAATGCACATATTGATTTCTCACAGGGTAGAACAAACTTAGATCAGAGAGAATAACTTTTCTATAATGTACCCACTCGGTTCGTTTCTCTCCTTGTGTACGGCTCTTCTCGTGTATATGAAAAGGTCGCCTATAAAGTCCCTCCCCATTCATTACCGTTCGTATGCGACTCCGCATCAGCAGCGCGTATTCTCCTGTACAGAGCCTCTGGAATATGCTCCGGATATCTGTCGCGTACTTTGAGGGAAGCGTAAAAATGTTATAGTGCTTCGACTCGTTCGGATTGATCCCTAATACCGGCTTTGTGTTGTCCGTAATTAGCTTAGAGGCTAAGAGGAACGTGCCGTCTCCTCCTATGGGCACCATCATGTCCGCCCAATTCATGCACTTCGATGCCTCGTCTATCCTGTGTCACGAGGTATAAATTAAAAGTAAGTACTCGAGAAAAATTATTATTCCATGAAAATTGGAAAATTATGGGGTCACGATAATTCTCAAATTCGACAGCACCGAATTTTTAAAAAATTCGAGGCTTTCGGTGTAACGGAGTGCAAATGTCTTCGAGAAAAATTAGTGGTCGATGAAAATTGGGAAATTATAGTAATCCCAGCGAAATCGCGATATCTTTCAAATTTAGCAACGCGAAATTTAAGAATAAAAAGAATAGAAAAATGTTGATACTAGAATTTTCCTATTTCCCTCGAATTTTTTAATAATTAAGAACACGGGATCCGAAAATTGTTCGGAATTTTAAAGAAGGAAAATATTTTCAAGTCGACGCTGGAAAACGAGAAATATCGGTTAATTAAATTGTCCGCTAATCGCGAGAAATATAAAAGGATCGTAAAATAATAAATTTAAGAATAAAAAGAATAGAAAAATGTTGATATTAGGATATCCTTATTTCCCTCGAATTTTTTAATAATTAAGAATATGAAATCCGAAAATTGTTCGGAATTTTGTAGAAAGAAAATATTTTCAAGTCGACGCTGGAAAACGAGAAATATCGGTTAATTAAATTGTCCGCTAATCGCGAGAAATATAAAAGGATCGTAAAAGCTGGACGAAAAGGGAATACGTCCTAGCCCATTTTCTTTTTTATGTTTCTTGCGCGGAACGCAGCTGTTTCTTCGGGCATTAAAATTTATTACGTAATAACTCTTCGGGCTACCTTTTCGTGATACGAAAACTGATGTCGAGCTTTCTGAGAACCGCTGCCAGATTTTGCTCGCAAGCAATCTGTCGTTGATGCTCGGCGAGAATTTCCTGCGGATCCTTCCCTTGCTCTTTCATCTTCGACAATATTTGATCTTCGTTCAGATCGGGATTCTGAAATCGCTGGAACTCCAACGAGGACATCTTCGAGACGCCGAGCACCGTTCGCGGTCGATAAGACGTATTGTTTAAACAACTTAAGAGCTTCATGATTAACCGATCCAGACATCTCGGACGTTGCAACGTCCTGTCGATTTAGGTTAGACTGCACGCGAAATACCGGAGCCTTTTCGAACAATGCCGGCAACGCAGTCACTTCGGATCGATACTAATTAAACGGGGATATTAGTTTGGTTTCGTTATGATATTAAATATTGAACCAAGAGATTGTTCCGTTGCCGTTGCTTTCAGACCAAACACAATGTATCGTGTAACGTTTGAATACCGGCGAAGTTTCGCTTTATTCTAACGAATTGTTAACGAGTTTGCGCCGTTTATCGGCGGAAAATTTCGCACCAGGCGCCTTCATAATTGCATTATCGCATAATAAATCCCGGGCTAACCAGACACATTTCCTATCGCGTTGATGATTTATTTTGTTAGCTAATCCGATTTTGCGAAATCGAGCGCTTAATAGGACTTCTAAAAACATTTTCGGCCATCAAAGTTCGGATACGAGCGCCTATTTTGCAACAACATAACCTGATTACGAATTTACTTCGCGTGGGAATTAAGCCGGGTTAATTGCTTTAAATTTATCATTATAATTAAGAATAATTTCGTACAGGAGTGTCCGTGACGAATAATTACAATAATTCAAACCCGCCATTAAGAATTTATTCGTTTAGACCTTCCATCAATCTTAATTTATTATCTATTAAGCATAGTAAGGTAATTCAATTTCGACTTGCCAGTAAGAATCAATACCTTTATAATCTCCCAGTTCTTTATCTATTATCGAATAAAAATAACGATGTACAAATTTACTCGCTTATATTTTCCTTTAATTTTTATTCGATGTATTGGGTTGACAAGAAAGTACTTTCGGTTTTTTAGCGTGAAATAGAACTCAATTTTTTCTATACAGTAAATAAAATTTTAATCGGTAAAATATCATCCATTCTATTCGATGACCTTTTGCCATCTTTCTGGTAACTTCGTGATCCCGCGCTCATAGAATTTCTGGTCCTTATCTGCAAAAAACTTAACCAAGTGCGTAAATCTCAGAAGGTCGACCAGAACGTTGTGGGTATCTTTCAGTGAAAAATCTTCAGAACGAAATTTTTTAAACTAATTCTGACACGTGCGTTCTGTTAAACAATCAACACCATAAACTTCTCATATCTCTTTGTGAGCCTCAGCCGAATTCTTGCCTTTATGAAAATAAAAAAGTAAAATGTGTCGAAAATGCTTATTTTTACACCCCATGATAAGACTGGCCGTAAACTGACAGTTAGAAACGAAATTACACGGAATTTCTCGAAATAGCAACCTAAAGGTATCGACTACCACATCTGAAAAGAAAAAAATTCTAACATTGAGAAAAGAATAATTAAACAAGCATAACATTATTTACTGATGCAAACACGAAATTACTTTCTTGCCAACCCAATATATTAAGAGAATAATAATATAATTCGAACAACAGACGATACAATTCGAAACCGCGATTATTCAGTGTGAGGAAATTACGATGTCCTATCCACGAAGAAATTTTCCCAAATCCGCCTAACGCGATAAAAAGATATCCCTCAAAGGAGGTCTCCCCTGTAATCAACTTCCTTTTCCTCGGCTCCGACATCTTTCATCATACCGCCTACAACTGTCCCCGCTGCTCAAACGACCGCCCGCTTCCGGTCTCAACTTTGCAAATCACATCGCGTCTCTGCGGCTTCGTGACATCAGACGTTGCTTCAACTTGGCAGCCGGAGAGTATCCAGCACCGATGACGAGGCGGCTGCGTCTGTGAAACGTGTTCTTCGGGATTACTCACGTGTCCTAAGTGATACTTGGTACTCTCGGGTCCACCTAGACGAGGCCGCGTGTCTTGTACGCTAGCTTCTGGCCAACTTCCGGACAAAGTTCCACGAAATTTTCGTCTCAATGGACAGTGACCATTAAAGCCACTTAAGGTACCAGGATCTCCCCTTAAGCTCGTCCGTGCAGGCTGATGTTTCGTCGGCCACGAAATATTCTTGGACAGCACACCGTTGAGATTTCACCCAGGAACCCCCGAAGAGTTCTCGAGTTCCCTTGAAAGCCATCGTTTTATGAGCTCCGTGACATTTTTACCTCTTCCTTCATATTTCCGGATACGTAGCTCGCGGACCGCCACTTGGATCCGCCATTCTTCCCATCAACGTGAACGCCCGGTCCTTTTCTGTTTTTGGAAAATGGCGCCGGAAAAAAGGGAGAGAGCTGGCAGTTTTCCCTGGGAAAAAATTGCAGCGCAGAGAAAAACCTGGGTGTATATATATATTCGCGTCTTGCACGGTTTTTGGTCGAGTCGAGGTGGTCTAGTCGAGTTTCCGGTAACTGGAAGACAGAAGAAGCTCGCGGTAAACTTCGTGGAAGTTCTCGTCTCGAGGATAGCTGACCGCGAAAGCCATTTACGGTACCGGAATGTTCTCTTAAGACCCGTTGTCGCGAAATATCCGAGCGTTTTATATTTTACGAGCCACGGACTGCCGCTGCAACTTTTCTCAAATTCGTGCCGCCCGTTGGATTTATGTACGAGTTCATGGAATATTTCCCTCGCCGAGGGCAGAAAAGTTATACATCGAAAGCGCGTAATTAGCTTCCTTATTTATACTCGCAAATATCCGCGAGAGCACCGAGACACCTGTTATTGCCACATAGATGCTGTCTATATATGCACAGAGATTGCCACTGATTTTTACACCATTCACCGACAAGTTTGATCACCGGAAGTGCACTCTTTTCCGATATAAACGAAAAATAAAAATACCAGTGACGAAGCTCTTCGAAATATCGTGCCGACCATTTTATTAGCAATAACTCGTTTTAACTCACATTTATAAAAACATGATGTATTTTCCGAATTATAGAAATTTATCGATTTTGTAAAATAAAATTAAAGACAATGGAGTGTCTTCTTGGTCTTTTAAAACATCGGTCGATAGGGGTACTTGTTGGAAATTAGCTACGCCTATGCAACGATGGTGACAGGCCTGTTAAAGGTTGCAGGCCAATACCGAGCTTTGAACCTCAAGATACTATGCAGGCATCAAGGGGTCGGTTTTGGGGGTTTAACCCTTTGAGCAGTAACTTTCCAAACATCCAACAGGCTTCAAAAAGCGAGTTCTTTAAAATTCGTTAAATAACTTTTTTATCATTATATTGATACTTATATTGTGTTAGTTTAGAAATTATGATGTTTTGTGAGAAAAATGTCATTTAACTACTTTTTCGATATGAAAAAAACTTTTTTTAAAAAACTGCAGATGGCTTGTATGATGTGACTGTTACGTCCTTACTATTCAAAGGGTTAAAAGGGCCTGCTGTTTCTCGCTGCTCTCACTCTCAAATCCGGAACAGTGCAGATAGCTTACGTATTGTGACCCGCAGTGGTGTGACAAAGACTCTTGGTTTTATTTGTATATTCGCTTAAAGTTAAACTTTTATACATCCAATTGCTGCACAACTGAATACGGTTACTTCCCTTTACGCTAATCATTTTGATTTCCTTCCCGAAATTCCAAACAGTTCTTTTTCATATAAACTCTTTAAAGTTTTCAAATATCCATGACAGGAGAATTTGCCAATGACGAGTAAACTCGTCAGCCCTAATTAGTCAACGTGTTAAAATTTTCCTTTATTTTTCTGCCCGTGTAGTTAGGGAGTAATACCGATAAATATTTTTCTCGAGAAATTAAAATTTCAGATGCGAGTATAAAAAAACATGGTAAAAATTTTAGAATTGCAAATGACGCTTAACACGA